TGAGGCTTCGTGGAAGGTATGGCCAATAGCTTATATCAGTTTATTTGCTGTAGAAAAGCATAGTTACTTTGCTGTTATGCTGGCACGTGACATTTTATTTTAGATATTTTACTAACTGTATGGTTTTATGGGTTTGAGAATGAGAGGAGACAGAAGAGTTGCCTAAATAGAATCATTGAAATTTTTACCTGCATCAAAACATGCAAAACAAAGCAAATTGTAATTCTCTCCTGTGTCAGACTGGGAGCTGTTGCTAGGCTAACTGGTCACAAAGCAAAAAGCTGCTGTGCTGTATGACCTGACTGGTAGCTACCATAAGCTTGTTTATTCATGAATTTGAGGCCAGTCCTGTGAGCTTGTTTGTAAGAAGTTGGTAATTTTCCAGCAGTAATGTTGGAGGAGGTGTTCTTCAGTCCTGTCAGGAAAGTGATTTGTGTTTCAAGTCATCTGATAATAAAATGCTTTCTCCCCAGTCTAGAAAACTGATTTGTTGGCTGCATAGTTGTTTTATATTTTATTACTCTTATCTTAAAGAATTGAATATTTTTCATTGTTCTCTCATTTCCAGTTTTTGCCATGTTTTACATTTGCAGTAATAATGGTGTTAATATTTCATACCCGTTTTTTAATGTTTCTGAAAAATTCAGATGTTCCTTTAAAATAACTATGAGTTTGAAATTTTACTATTTTATTTGCTTATCTTATTTGCTCATTTGTTTAGGAGCTTTGAAAACAACCTTAACACATACAAATTACTGTCGCACAGAAGGCCAGATGCTGAGCTTCCAAAGGTAAGAGGGTTTGTTGAATGGGCAATGCAATCCTGCTTTTGGGATCTATTAATAACTCCCTTCAAACCTCTATTATAGCATAGGTTACAAATTAAATATTATAAAGATGCTTGAAGCACACTAGTTTATTCTAATAATAAGTAGCATTTTTAAAGTGAAATACAATTGTAACTAGAAAATTGCTGTAGACAGTTTCCTTCTGTCTTGAATATACAGCTGGTCCCAATTGTTAAAAGGTCTGGTCCTAATAGTTACTGTTTTGCCCTGTGTTTCTTACCATGAAGAAAAGGAGGGGTGATGTTTAAAAACATCTGAAAATCTTTAGATAAAGGAGGGTACTATATTAAAAGAATTCTAAGCCTTCCTTTTGAAGGGTAAAACCACTCATGGGCAAGGGCAAATACAGGAATTCATAGGAAGCAGTATTGAGAACAGATCCTTCACCTTTGTGTGAAAAAATAAGTCACTCTGCATAATACAATAACAGAAATTTTGTTTCTTTTAGTTCCTAAGATTCATATAGGAGGAAATTTGTATTTATTTAGGAAGCAGACACTAAATTTTGTGTGCAAACAAATATTAGGATTTTTTTAAATTAAAAGTTTACTGACTAGTTTTGTGTTTGATCATAGTTGGTGACTATGTCATCTCACTTGTTAACTCTGCTTTTAATTGTGGTTTGTGACCATTTGTTACCTTATTTGCATCATGATGTTGCTGTTATACTTTCTAAAAATACTTTTCCCAAATAAATATTTGAGTAATGATCTGAAAATGTGTGGTGTTGGGAAAGATGCTGAGTGCTCCTGTTCGCTAATGTATTGTCAGCTTCTTGAAAAACCTGGCCAATAGCTTAATTTTAAAACTTGTCTGTTCCTCTCTGCATTGTACTGGTGATACACACATAAATGCTGTGGTGCTAGAGTCAGTTCCTACATTTTTTTCTTCTTTTGCCATTGTTGTGTTGGCAAAAAAAAAAAATTCCTGCTTTAGTAACATGAAGCTGGTACCATGGCCAGGTTGGGTGGAGCTCTGAGCAGCCTGGTCTAGTGAAAGGTGTCCCTGGCCATGTCAGGGGGTTGGAATGAGATTATCTTTATGGTCCTTCCAACCCCAAGTATTCTGTGATTCTATTTTATGTTTCTTGAACCTGGGCTAGAATATAAAAACCTGAATAATTTAACTTGTAAACCAAATGGAATTATTATAAAGTCTTATTTAAGAAGAAACATTCTTTTTTCTTAATTGTGTGTCTCTTTGATATTCTGCAAGTGGGGAAGTGTGTCTGCACCTTGCAGTTAACTTTAAATTTTCAACATGTTTAGGGGCTTTGAAATTTTGTTTCCTTCATTCCAGTATTTAGCAACTGCATATGATGTACAAATTAACCGTGGTGTAGAAATCAAAGTCCTTACTAAATATTATTTTTATCTTGCAGACTAATTTTAACGTGGCAGTTTTAAACGTTGGTGCCCCTGCAGCTGGGATGAACGCCGCCGTGAGAGCTGCAGTGAGAGTTGGCATAACCGAGGGTCACAAAATATTTGCTGTCATTGATGGTTTTGAAGGGTTCGCCAGAGGAAAGGTCAGTGTCACGTGTGTGCCTTACCAAGTGCTAGGTACCCCATCCCACACTACCACCTTTGCTTATGTTCATGGAAGGTGTGTTCTGTCGTAACTGCTGAGGGAACTGGTTCTCTAAGTGCTTTTATTCATCAAGATCTCTAAAACTTAGATTGTAGTTGTATTTCTCAACTATTCAAGTCTGTAGAGTCATTTATGCTGAATGTTACTAATCACATGCTGCAGAGCTACAAAATGAGTTCAGATGAATCCTGCCTTTGAGTTTTGGTCAATGTTTAGCACATTGAAGTTTTTTCACAGAGTAGCAGAATAATCTCTGATTCTGAACAATGAGTTATTGCACATATATTCCTTTGCTGGAAGAAACTTTGTAATGGTGCTTATTGAGGGAGGAAGCTTTTTTTCCCTTAGGTAAGTTAGATTGTTTTCTTCTCCTGTTTTTAAATGTTATGCATTGGTTGGTGTACTGAAGAGAAATTGAATGCAAGATTATTGATTTTTGTGCCTGGCTGGAGCCACAGATCCCAAAACTTACATCAAAGACCTAGCTTTAGATTTTTTTGTTTCACATTGAGTAGGAGAGGATGTGAAAATAGAGATATGAAACACAGAGACAGACAGGGTTCATCTTGGTATGGAAGAAGAAAGAACAAATGGAATGGAACAGACTTGCAGCCTAATGCAAGGCAACAAAGCAGTTAGGGTGTCCAGGGGTGTCACCAAAAGGGATTGTAGTAATTCAAGAGAAATAGAGTTAAACTCAATGCTGTTTTCATCATTGGCCTCATTTAGTTTTAGTGATGTCAAGTGCCCAACAACTTGTTCCAAGAGCTTTTTATGAAGTAGTACCTGTTGTTTGATGCAACTCAAGAGAAGTAATTGGATAATCACTTAACAAAATCTCCTTTTTTACTTTTATTCAAAGATAAAGGAAATTTCCTGGGGAGATGTTGGAGGCTGGACTGGTCAAGGAGGATCAATTCTTGGTACAAAACGGTAAAGTCAATATTTTTGTCAATTGATATGATGAACTGTAGTGCTTTATACACCCACTGTGATTCCATGTTCTTTTCTTCCCACAGAGTGGTTTTAAGTCCTCAATTTTTGTACATTTGGGTTTTTTGAGCTTGTTTTTTGTGCAAATCCTTGTGTTCCAACTTAGAATCTTTGTAGTACTGAACCCTTTCTGAAGAGTGGGAGCTGAGATCTCAACTTAAAAATTTCTGGGGTTCCTTACACTTTAAAGGATTTCAAACCTGCAGTTTCTTTACACTTGTCATGAGTCCTTATTGTTTGTCTGGAAGAGCTACTTGTATGGATAAATATGTAAAACAAAAACCATTGTGTTGCCTGCTGACTTGATGGTTTCAGCTTAGTAATGAGTTCTTACTGCTTCAAAGTCTGTAAATTGTTTTTATTTTTCTTTTGGTTTAATGATTTTTAGTACTCTTCCTGCAAAATATTTGGAGAAGATTGCTGACCAGATGCGCACTAACAACATTAACGCCCTTATGGTTATTGGTGGATTTGAGGTACACTGAAATATCTAATTATGTCTAAGTAGACTAGAAATCCTAACAAAATTAATAGTCTGGTTTGATTTTGACCCAATCTTCATGTAAGGTGCATTTGGCTCTATCTGTATTTGATACATGACATAGTGTTTAGAATCAAAAGTGTTGTCAGTCAGGGGTTCTCTGGAAAGCTGGCATTCAAGACAGTGACTGGAACTGCTAAATTCATGTGCTAAATGGATAAATGAGATGAGATAGTGTTACAGTTTTTTGTATTAAAATAAATAAATAACTTCAGTTGTGCAAGTTTCAGTCTATACTGTATCAATACTTAGAACATCATTGCAGAAGTTCTTGACTCTTAGTAGAAATTGCACTATGGCTCCTTTTTAAAGCCACTCCTCTCACATAGTGCATGTCAAAATCTGTAATGGATCTAGACAAGTTGTTGTTTTGGTTTTTTTGCTATATTTCATGTTTGCTTTGTTCTAAAAAAAACAAATAATTTTTGAAATTTTGATTCAGGAAAGTATTTTGCCTACTCCTTGCAGAAAAGAATGTGTTCATTGCTTTTTGAGAAAGACTGTGTCTTCCTTTTTTGTCCAAGCTGTTAGCTATGACCCTAATTCAGGAATATTAAGATTTTTAAATCAGGAGTAACAGTACCTGAAGATTGGGAAACTAGTTTGTTTTGTTGAAAACCAACTTCCTGTGCCTAAATTTTTCATTTTCATGAAAACATATGTTCTATTTATTGTTTTCAAATATATGCCTGTTTCTAACGCTTTCTTTTTTGTCTGTGTTAGATTTTAGTGGTTCCTTAGTGCTCTGACTTGCTGAAGTGTGCTGTGGTAGAAATGGCTCCCCCTGTGGCCCTTCTCATTTTGTCACTCCCAACTCTGTCCTTCCTTTATTCATCCTAATTTTTTACCTGATGCCTGTGCCCAACAGGCTTACCTTGGACTTCTGGAATTGTCAGCTGCCCGGGAGAAATATGATGAATTCTGTGTTCCAATGGTTATGGTTCCTGCAACTGTATCCAACAATGTACCGGGTTCAGATTTCAGCATTGGTGCAGATACTGCTCTGAACACTATAACTGATGTAAGTCTGCTCTGGTGTGTGCATATACTAACAAAGCAGTTGTTTAGACTTACTCAATTGGCTACTTCTGGATATTTTTGTAGACCAGAACTTAAGAAATGTGATCTGGGAAATTATAATTACTTCATGGCACCACTTTAGAAAAGAGAAAGTCTAGGATCCCAAATGCTTCCATTTAGTTTCTGCTGAAACTACAATGACCTCTAAATTTTTTAAGTGCAGGATAAGATGGCATCTGTTGTATAAGAAAGAAAGAAATAAACCTAAAACTGAGACTTGGATGATCATTTTCTCTGTAGAGGGGGAAAAATCTCTGTTCATAATATATAGAGTTGCAGTCTCTGCACCTGCAACAAACACTGAAGGAAAATTGCTCTGTTGAGAAGGAGATTCTTAGTTATTTACCATCTTTACTCCTCTAAGAGAATATGTAAAATCCACATTTCTCAATACTAGGCATTACATTTATTCTGTTAATAGCAGATTTAATAAAAAGAGTTGAGACATGTTAAGTAATTTTAAAAAAATCAGTTATACAACATAAGAGATTAAACATCCAGTTTTTGCTTTATGAGGAAAAAGCTTCTCTACTTGGAGTGTGATAGAGCACTGGAGAAATCTGCCCAAGGAGGTGTTAATAGCAGATTTAATAAAAAGAGTTGAGACATGTTAAGTAATTTTAAAAAAAATCAAATCCAGTTATACAACATAAAGTAAAAATTGGATGTTTAATCTCTTATGAGGAAAAAGCTTCTCTACTTGGAGTGTGATAGAGCACTGGAGAAATCTGCCCAAGGAGGTAGTGCAGTCTCTGTGGAGGTAATCCAAACCCTCCTGGATTGTTCTTGTGTCTCTTGCTCAGGTGTTCCTGCCTTGGCAGAGCACTGGATCTCCGTGAGGTCCAGAGGCCCCTTCCATCCCCAGCCATTCCTTAGTTCTCTAATACTAATTTCAGTTGAGCAGAAAGCTTAGTCAGTTGGAAAAAAGAGTTTCAAGTTGCTTTTGAAAATTAAATGACAAGTTATCTTATCACTTAAATGTATTTGAAAATTTTAACCATGATAGCTTTTTAATTTCAAGGATTCTTCAGGTCCCACCAACTTTAAATGCATTGCCATAACTTTTTTTTCCCCACCATTCCAACATAAATAATTTTAACTTCACCAAAAGAAATTCTTCAGTTAGGAAATATCAGTTTCTTGAAGTATTGGCTTGAATAAGACTGTAAGCTAACTAAAATTCATTGAGTTAATTTTTTATTGACAACTTGGGTTATAAGTGTTGATGTTGTTTCCAGTTCTGGTAAATAAAAATATCTGTCCAAAATGACTGATTATGAACTAAGGTGAGTAAAATGATTGTGCATAACATCTGCTTTCCCTCTTTTCTTATCTTCATAAACTTTGTTAACCAAACTGACTTCTTTTTATAGGTTATTTCATGCAAAGGAGATATATAGTAGGCAGTCAGTCTGTGTTGCTGTGGTTTGCTTTTCTATTTAGGTTTCTAGGTGTCATTTGCCTTCATTAGATAAAACATTTGTATTTTCAATGCAATAGTTGAAAACTTTTCAAAAACTTTTTTTTTTTTTGCTAATGGCTTTCTTGTTATTTTATGTTTATGTTTAATTTTGCCTAGATTTTTCTCAGGATTAAAGATGAAAAGTAATGGCTTTGCAAGATCTATATTCAGTTGAGTGGAAAATTAAATTTGGGTTGATTTTTTCTTTCTTTTCTTTGTTTTTTTTTTGTTTGTTTGGTTGGGGGTTTTTTTGTGTGTTTGTTTTTTGGGTTTTTTTGGTTTTTTGGAAGGAGCAGACTTGTGTTTGGAAAGCATCCTTTCAGTTTTTTGCTCTGATTGTTTGAACATGATTCACAAAAACTCTCAGTGAAAAATACATCCTTTCATTCTTGTGCCATGCTCAGATCAGGTGCAGTAGCAACTGTGCCCCTGTTAAATGTGACCAGATAAGCTCAGTACATGTCATCCAATTGGCTGTGGTAAACAAAAGCAGGAGGTGGACATGAATATCCATTTTATCAGGTTTATATGTAGGTTTTATTCTCGTTACCACAGTTAGGTCAATAAATGCATCACAGTTTACAATGCTTTCAGGGCACCAAAATTGTCATCACACTTAGTTTTTCTCTGGTACAGTTCTTACTTGAGTGATCTTGCCTACCTCTAGTCAGGTAAGTACAATTGTGCTGGTAATCAGGGATTGTTGCTGTTTGGCATCGTTAGACACTTGTCAGTTGTTTTAACTTGGCAAGCGTATGCTGAAACATTTGCTGATAAAATGTGTTAAAATTCTGCAATTAAAAAGAGAAAAAAAAAACAGACTTAGCAGATACATAACTTCTGAATGAGAGATTAGTAATGAGTGTGCTCCTCACAAAGGCATGTACATTTCTCAATAACTAATTTAGATTCTGTAACAGATCATGGGGACCCTTCTGAAATGTTCCATTTTTTCCTCTTCTGTTCTAAAATCTTGGCTTCAGATTTTGAATAGTGTTTTAAATTTATGATAAACTGTATTTTTCACTTCACTTTTCAGAATATTAGAAAAACTGCTAATGACAACATAAATGTAAAGTACCTGGGAAAAGCTGAATGTTTCTACCTGAGGAGGATATGCTTAAGGCTGATATATGTAGGCATACAAAGTTATCCTTTTAGGATTGCAGGATAAGAACATGAACTTCAGATTTTCTATTAAATGAAGCATCACTAAAATAGCTACCATAATAAAAATATCTATATTTTCAAGTATGTTGCTAATTCAGTGAAATAAATAGGGTGTTATTTTGGATGTCAGACCTCAGGAATGTGGCAACCATGAAATGAAAGGAAAAGGGATCAGCTAGATGAGAATAATGGAACCCAAAAAAGGGAGAGGCTAAAAACTTTCTGGTGTGTTTCTTCAATCTTTCCTTTCACCAGAAGAAAAGGGGATACAGACTGATGATTTGGTTTTGAGGGGTGGTAAAAAATACCAAACAAATGTTCCCTGAGGAGCACAGCTACAGTCAGATGCCTTAAGGCAGTCTCCACTCATTTCCTGTGGAAAACAGACGCCTGAACCCTCCCAGTAGCATGTGTGGCTCCACATTACTCTGAACTAGGAAGCTGAAAATTAGCCAGGCCACTAGCTAACCTGTTAATTTTTCATCTCCTTCAGTCTAGTAACAGCTGATGTGGAGTAAGGGCAGTAACTCCATTCCCTTCAACTGCCATTTGTACTTAGGTCATCTTAAAGTCAACAAACAGTAGTCTCTGCTTGACTGCATGAATTTTTATAAAGCATCCTTGGTTATGTTGGTTATGGCAACAACCTTTTTAGTAACACAAATCCAATAAAAGGGTAGGAAATTATTAAACCATTTTATTAACACAGTGCAGTATCCCTCTATGGCCTTAGTGTAGTAATTAAAAAAATATACTAGCATAGCAATTGCTAAAACCATTGATCACTTATTTACCTTTTATAATTAAGTGACCATATATTAAAAGCATTTTCATGTTTTGCCACAGTGATGCAAAGATGTTGCATATAATCATCTAATGCTCGTGCTTGGTGAAGGTACAACATTGGATATGTTGGCTGAAATCACTTGCATCAAATAAATGGCAATATTTAATGCAAGTAAAACATATCATAACTGCATCTTAACATACCATAAATGCAGACTAACCAGTTAGGTTAGTTATTGCTCTACATCTCCCTTTGACTTGTTTTTCCAGAAGTCTTAATATAAAACTTTTTAGAGAAACTTGTGTTCTGCAGATCTCCAGGAAGCCGTGTGGTTTTACCAAACTGCTGTTACTTTGTATGTCTTTATTCTTTTAATAGAAATAAATGTTGAAAGCAGTCTGACTGAGCTGAGTTGGGCCAGGCAATTCCTGAAATTTCCTAAGTGAAGTCTCAGCCACTAAAAAAACCAAATCCCAAATAAACCCCTCCTATTTGTTGCTCCTGGCTCTACTTCTTCTGAGCTCTTTGGGTCTGAAAGTGCCATCTTTTATGCTATGTTTCAACCTCAAACTGAAAGTGTAGTAGTGAGCCATTTAATTTACAAAACAGTGAGAAGAGAAAGATTTTTTAGAAAGCCAGTTTGCATTTATGCACCTACAGCCATAAATGCACCTACAGCATAAATATCCTGTCTTCTCACTGAACAGGACCTGCTCTGTCTAGGACAAAAGCTCAGAAGGAGAACTCTCACAGGTAGGGGATTTACCCATAATTTTCTTCTAAGTTTTTCCTTATACCAGCCACTGTGGAGATATGCCTGGAGATACCTCAGTAGGTATCTAATTTTGATCTGCAATAGTTGGCTTCCCTGAACCGATTTGAGAAATTAAGAAAATGAGACTTCTGTGAACATCAGTTTCTGGGAGAAAGAGATGAAAAAGTCGTGTATTACATAATTAGGCTTTCTGGTGGAGAGCCATTACACAGGCAGTTTGAAAAACTGCCACACTTCATGAGAGATGCTGATGAGTTTAGATTAGAAATAATTGGAATAATGTAATGTAACCTGCAAAACCTTAACATTTATTTTGACATCCACTAGGAGTACCTAATCCTTTTGACATGATAATATGTATTGTAGATTTTGGAGTCTTTCCAAGGACCTAAAACTGCTTTTCAAAGAATTCTTGAACTATACTTGCAAACTTTATTAACTCATCCATCTGCATATGTTCCTGGATTTTTCTAGGCCTACATCCAGTCTGTGTTCACAGAGGCAGATGTGTGATGTTGATAGAAACTTTGAAGGCATGGGTGAACTTTTTTTTCCTTTCTCTTGGTGGAAATAGATGCGTGTCTTGACTTTCTAGGATAACATAGTTTTTTTAAAAAGTGTCTTTCTTTAAGCATTGTCTTCAATTTGCAAGGGTTTTACTAGTTAATTTTCTAAGCTCCTTAGCATGTATCAAACTCTGTTCTTCAAGTTCTTTCCTGTGGAATGACTTCCAGTCTAGCTTTTTGCCTTCCTTTCCTACCCAGCTGCTTCAGACCTCTCTGGTGTGCACACTTTCTTCAGTCTGTACTAACTCGTACTAATCCTCTGCATTTCTTCAAAGAGCATTGTGCCAATGCAACCCCAGTGCACTGTTGTGGTATGTACAGGATATTTTCACCCCCCCTCCCCCCAAATAATCTCACCAATTGTATTTATTTGGGCCAGTGGACAGCCACATTTACCATCACATGCCAGGAGTCATTAGCAGAGCAGTCCAAAGACAAGGAATGTTTCACTCACACTTGTACCACTGCTTCAGGCCTTTGAAAGTTGTCTGCAGCTCTACGAGGCGCGAGCCAGCTTTGAGGAGTTTAGCGTTCCTATGTGTGTGTTGCCTGCTACTATTAGCAACAATGTGCCAGGCACAGACTATAGCCTTGGTACTGACACTGCCTTGAATGCTATTGTGGAGGTAAGACTGCATATCTTTTAAAAGTTAAGATGATAAAATGCATAAGATGAGGATACTTAAAGACGTTGAAATGTCTAGTTTTCTTAAATAGTTCAGTTACTTGTGTTTTTTATTGGTTAATAGTTCAGTTTTCCAAAACTGATTTAAGATTAACCTTAGAAAAAGTATTATGTTAAATGCTTAATTTTTGGGGACTCTCTTTTGTTCTTCAAGACTCCTGTATTAGGGTATTTGCTTTTACTGAGAATAAAATATTTCGCTTTCTTCAATTTCATTTTTATCTTACATATTACTTAGGGAAAAGAAGAAAGCATATATTTTATAAATAAATGCCCCATTTGTTGGATGAACTATTGACTGAGCTCAGTGCAGCAGAGCATTTTAAATGCATGATTAACACTAAATACATGAAAAATCCTGTAGACTCCATTAGGTTTAACATACATTAAGTGCATATAAATGCATGGATAGTATAAGCAGTTAAGTCTGTCACTGATGTTCAACTAAATAGTGCGGGGTCAGAACAATCAGTGTTCTAGTTTTAGTCTGCCATAGTTTTTCCCTTGGGTTCAACTGTTTTATGAGCTCTTTCAGTCCTGTTTACTCTGCTTAAGACACAGCAAAGGGAACTGAGCTGAGATGCAATGCAAACAAATGAGTAAATCTTACCAGCTCTGAGTTTTATCAAACCCATCATTAGCAAGTCATATAACTAATCATGAAGTAATTTGTCAAGGAAGTCAAATCAAGACTACAGATCCAGGGGTTTGGGAGAAGCAGGTTTGTTTTCCTGTTTTTACACAGTGAGTGAAAAAGCTCAGTAGATAACTGGAAGAGCTGTGGCAGAAAACAGGGTGGCTGCAGCATCCCTGGGCTGAGACGAGACATCCTAAGGTGTCATTTGGGCACGTCATGTAGCAGCATTCATGGGCAGGACATGGGTACTTTTCCACTCCTTCAGCTTTCTCCTCTTGGCCTGACATTTATAGAAGCAGCTAAGTCTGCTAATTGTGATGTGGCACCTTCAAAAGTGGTAACAATGGGGCAACAAATGATTGCATATAGTGCTGCTTCCTCTTACGAAATTGTTTTTGGTAGTAATTTAATTACAGTTTGTATAGATATCAGTAATGCTTTCTGTAAAAAAAAATATGGTTGCATCATATGAATTTTATTGTCATTAGGATGTTTAGTTAATGTTAATAGCAGAACACTTGATTTTGTGTTTTGAACATTAGGATTTTTATTAAGCTGGGTCAGTTCATATGAAAGCTCAGCTAGCAACAGAATTCCAAAAAGAATCCTCATGCCTTGTTTATGATATCTGAAACCTGCACCAGGAATTTAAGGTTTGGCTTTTCTAGCCTGTAGTGTAGTGTATGAATTAATAATTCATTTAAGTCTACCTGTGCCAATTTCATATTTGGGTATTTCTGTCACAGTCATTCTGAGAAAGCAAGAGTAGTAGAAAGTTTATACTCCATCTCTTGTAGGGTCAAGGACAGAAACCCTTCTAAGTAGGTTTCAAGTGATTAGTCCCATAGGCAGTGACTGATTTACCTCCTTGCTTAGTGCTTGGGGATTCTCAAAAGGCAGAAAATTCCACTCTCCTGCCAGCAGATGGAAAATCTTTTTAGAAATCTTGGGGTTTACAAATATTTGAAGTCTCTCAAAATGGTGGGAATCTTCACATCTATATTGTCTAAAGACAAGATTGTTTTACAACATAAGTTAAACACAATAGTACCTATCCGGTTTCAGGCAGCTCTTTAAAAATGAGTTAAATTGCTCCAGTGCTACATTATTCTGCAAAAATTTTCATGAAACAATATCTGTAAGAAGAAAGTAAAGTGCTTGGGGACACTGTAAAACCCAAGACATGTAAAAGTGTCA